TCTGCCAGAACTCTCCATTATAAAGATACCTTTCCTCCTCAGTAAGTGATAAGTAATCAGCGGGGTGATACTCTGAGACTGTGTGAGCATCCTGTTCCACAGCATCCCTTTCCCTAATGGTTTTAGCAGCCATTAATGACTGTCGACTGAATCAATCATTGCCTTGGTGGTTGCAAAGTGGGATTTTCTATTTCTGCTCTTCCTTTAGTGTTTATTAGCTGGCTTTCTTTGCAAAGAAGAATGTTCCACTATCCCCCTTCTCATGAGTATCTATGGATTTATGGTTCCTTTTTTAATTCAGTGTGTTCTAATTCATCGATATCATTCTTTCTGTTGTTTGAACTGTCCCACATTTGGCGAGAGGGAGACCCTTCAAGGCAGGTCCTATGTTCTTTTGTCATGTCTGCGTTAATATTTTAGCACTTCTTCGCTCTCTGGCATAGCAAAATGTTCTGGGCTTATCTTGTACTTTCCTGAAGCCCAGGCTGGACCCAAACATTTCTCCTGTGAGCTAAGGTATTTAGAAAACAAGATCTGGGTACTCAAGCTTTCCTTTAAAAATGCATATAATCCAGAGGAAGTTTAAAGTCATTAATCATTTGTTAAAGATCCCCCATCCCCCAGCTTCTGCTAAAGTATTCCCATGAAGTAGTTGGGAGTTTAGAATTTGGAAGGAAACGACCACTGAGAGAAAGAGGCCATCAAAAGTGAAGGTCATTGGGCCTTAGATTCAAGGTGGCACAGTGATGCAAAAAGGGGAAGGAGACAATGCCAAAGACCAATTTAGATTATGCTGGAATTCTGCCCACGGAGTGACTGGAGAGCCTGAGAAAATAATTTCTACTTGTTTTCCAGGTAGACTCTGAAAATTGCTTGCCCTTTTTAATATCTGGTAATACTAAGAGAGTATATTCCCCCGAGCTACACATATGCTAATTCTTAGAGCAATTTAAGAAATATAGTTTCCATACTGAGAATTTCTAAGTGCTCTGTATTTTCAGAGTCAGTGTGAGGTATGTATAGATGGATGTATATTTCAGCATGTTGTCCTTTAAAAATTAAAATTCATAGTTTTTATTTTGAACAGTCATAATTGAAAATAGTATATGAATTTACTTGCTGAGTGTATTTGGTTGCAAATTATTAAAGGTAAATGTGTGCAGCGTTTTAGGCTGCAAATTGTGAGACACAGAAGCCAAGAATTTCAAGGCTATTTTCCAAAGTAATCAATATGCATTTAATAAAATGATAGGGTCTCTGTTCTTGAACAGACTGATTTTTCTGGAACGCAGTATCTCCTCTGTGATCTCTTTTTGTATCTAATAGCATAATTAAAAGGTTCATTTGCCTTTTCTATTCTTTAAAACAAAACAAACAAGACATGAAGCCAGTAGCTTTGTTTCCATTTGATAGGGAGCTTATGAAAATGCTTAAAAATACAAAAGCAAATTTGAAACAGAAGGGTTTTGTTTTTGTTTGTTTTTCATTGAAGTCAGCATTTTTGAAAGTAAGAAAAAAAAACCAAAAAACAAAAAATAGAGACCAGTACATCTGTACTTTGTACAGCAGGAATATGGTTGTTATTCAGATGTATACGCTGAATGTTACAGATGCTTTGTAATTTTGTGAAACAACCCCCCCCAACACGTACACAATCACTGATTTTTAATCCTCAGTGCATTCATGAGAGTGGAGAGCTGTATTACAGCAGTTGCTCTACATCAAATCATTACTGAATATTTAGTGTGCCAGTAAGGTTACACTGAAAATGGAAAGGGATCCATCATTTGAATGTACTGCTGGCAAGCACAGGTAAGTGATCTCAGGTGTGTGGTGGCCAGATTGTTCCAAATTGGCCTTGACTCCTGAGTGCTCTCACCATTCAGTTCTTATGTGATGTCACTGTGTGGGGTTAAACTAAGCAGACTTATGACTAAGGAGTCACCATTTTTGGCAAATGGATTATTTTCAAAGCCCAGTTCTATGGTTATTGGGAAAATTTTAATATAACTGAGTTCTTTTGGAGGTTGTAAAGATCAGTCTCTCTTTTCTTGCTTTCTGTTTAAAACTCCCAGAGAGAGGCACTCATCCCCCCACCCAAACCATCGCTCTTTGTATTTCTTTGATCTCAGTCTTGTTTGAAAGGAGCTTTATCCAGAGCACAATTTCTTCATTCATAACTAAATTTCTTTCAGACATTAAAACAGCTTATATGCAATTATATAATTAAAAATCCTCCTTCATCTGGATTTACTAAATCCATGACTGTTTTAGCCAGTACAAGCAAATTATGTTTTGGCCTCTGTAATGGATTTATATACTTTGAACATCTCTGTTGGGACTGTATATGTCCTTGAATTGTGAGGTAGCAAATACCTTCAGGAATTCAGTCATGTGACTGGATCTGTTAATACTTGCGGAGGGAGCATCTGGTGTCCTTGTTCTTGGACTAGTGTTCATTCTACTGGCTGGATTCACATGTGAAATTAATGTGTGCATAAAAAGAGGTTTGTCCCACCAAATGCCTTAATCCTATTTTTATGTAGAATATTGTTATTTTTAGTTGTGAAAGTAGATGTAAGCACTGTGGAATATTTGAGTATCACAGGAAAATGCAAAGAAAGTAAAAATTATTTGACCCTAATTCTGTAATCTCTAATTAGCAAGTATACAAATGTTGACTTTTTCTTTCATTCCAGTCATTTTTCCAGGTACAGATAACTTTTAAACAAAATTGGAATTGTGTTGAACATATCATCTTATAGTCTGCATTTCCAGTGAACACTGCTTAAAAACATTTTCTCATTTTATGAAATATTTTACAGATTAAAAAAAAACCCTGTTTATCCATTGCTAAAGATTTATATTTTTTAATTGCTTAAATTGTTATTACCTATAATAGAAAACTTCTTTGTACATATCTTTATGCATATCTTGGACCTTTTTTTAGGATGAATTCAATCTTTTAAAAATTTATTGGTTTCAAGGAATGACAAGTAATTAATTCAGTTTGTCCTTTTCAGCAAGTCCAGTTAAGCCCTCTTGTCTGCAAGAATCTATCTTTATAACACGATCATGTTGGTCTGTCCAGAGTGGTGCAGTAACACCTCATTTATTTAACACCTTTAGGGAACTTCTCATAAATAAATTTTTCACATAACTGAAACTGACCCTTAGAAGTGTCTCTATTAGGTTATTGTAAACCCAATATGTGAGTGAGGATCTTTTTTAAATGGTATTACATATGTTACTCTCCTCTTTAATATAATACAAATATATGAAAATCATAATTTAACCCCTCTGGTTTAAATCACAAGCATCCTTATAAACACTGTTCATAAAGTTATTGTGTCTGTTCTGCTAAAATGCAGTATGTGTGTTTCTAAAAACCACCATGCTATGCAAAATCACGCAGTAAAACCCACAGCACTTCTGGGGAAAATGATCGGGGACGTAACGCTCAACACCTTTATCAGTGACAGGTTAAAAAATAAAGCTAGGAACCGAATCAAAATTGGAGCACAACTTTACACATATTAGTTGGTTAAGAAATAAAGAAACGTGTAATAGTTATGGCACTTTACCTTAAAGTCCGGATGTTTGCCTGTGGACTGAGGCCTTGGAAGGGTTGCAGCTTCTGAGTCACTGTGAAGTGTTGGAAGGAAGGTTACCTGAGATCAGAGGGAAAGTTGGGGCACCCAGTGTGGAGGGGTGGGACTCAGCACTCTGCGGGGAACCGAGATCGCTGGCAGATCCTTGAGGATGGGCTTTGGGCATTCTCTGTGTCTTCAGGCAGCTGGGTTCCACCCTGCGCAATCTTCTGTCATTACCTAGTGTTTCTTGCAATGAAATCATGCCTAAACAAATGTGAAATTCGAGTTGTGCTCAAGTTCTCCCTACTCTGTCAACCTTGGAACACACACAGTGATATTGGAGCTCTGAGTGTGCTGTGTGGTACCATGGTGATTCTAGGGGATATTCTGCTTATCTCTGTCCTAAATGGAGTTAATAGATGTGAGAGTACCTAGAAAAGAATCTGGCATAATAGTCAACACTGTGTAACAGCAATAGTAACAATGTAATAGTAACTGTAACCTAGAACAGTGACAATGACCGTAGGAATAAATGATGCGTACTGATGTCTGTGAGATTCTGGCTGCCTTTTGTAGCAGTGCTTCCTGCCTTCTCCTAATCAATCTATTTCTTAGTCTCTTATGGCTTTTAAATAATTGTATCATACTTCTTAGAATTACATCTAATGTGAGGCCCAGAAGGGAGAGCCTGATAGGTGCACAAATATTATGTTATGGTTTACCTGTGGCGTCTGCTACACCTACTTAAACTCTTTTATCTTATGAATGAGTTATTACCTATATATTCATTCTCAAGATTGTTGGGAGTAACTTATGTTTTTAGTGAGATTATCATCAGGTAGAATTCTTGGATTTTTTGTTTTATTAGAAAAAAGTTAACACGACTCTGTCTTCTCATTACCACTTGCAAAAGTGAAGTGTGCTTAAATGGGTACGTTTGAAGGGCATTTAAAAGTTGTTGATGGATCTCATTAAGTTGTTATTGTTCACTTCTATTTACAACTGCTTCTGTGTTTGTGAGATGAGCTCATCTTTGGAAAGTGGGGCAGGCAAGTGTGATTTCCGAAGACCTTCCCTCCCAAGTCACAGTATAATTAGAAGTCCAGATCCTCCCTCAGTTGCCTTTTATGACTCCCTGAGAAGGGCATTTTTACCGTGAATGGTTGCCAAGAAACCTTGCTGGTTCCTACTTTAGTAACTTTAATAAGATGACAGATCAAAACACCATCTAGATTTAGCAAGTCTTGTTAGTATTACTCTGCAAGAAAAGTAGCTAACATAGCTCATCATGTGGATATTCCGGTGAAATCTGTATTTTAATTATGTGGAGACTGGATAGCAATGGGGTGTTTTGGTTTTTAATTTCTGACTTTGAATTTTAACTTTTCGTGTCTACACAATTTCTAGATACATTTGGGCTGCCTGACCTCACTGGGTGATTGCTATTAATTAACAAGACTTTGTGGGAAAAGGGAACTTGCCTTCTGAGCTTTGTACCAAAGACCTGGGAAAAGTAAGTACTTTCTAACTTGCTTTTTAAAAATTCTGTTATGCTTCTCTCGGAAAGTTAACAGTGGGTCTGTGGCTTTTTTACTTTCTTTTTTTCCATGGCTTTGTAAGTTTTATATGCTCTTATGGACTTAAAAACGTGGGAAGGGGCTCAGGAGACCTTTAAAAAAAAAAACCTTTCAAGAGATTAGCATGACTTTCAACATTGTTCCACTTCTTTGGGGTTTCATCAACTGAGTCCTCAAGGTTGTGATAAAACCTCTTATCAGGTATTCAGTAGATGAATTAAACTTTAAAGGTAAGACAGTGCAATATGGTATGACTGGAAAATGAGTCTAGTTTTCTGAGCTTCAGGTGTTATAGACTTTTATATAAGCTCTTTGGTTCTGAATTTAGAATAAGAATGAAATCCATTTGGTTCTTTCCTTGCCTGGAAAGGAAAACAGAATGTGGAATCACTTGTTCAGTAAGTCCCTCATGTAGCTTGGTGTTGGAAGAATTGATACAGCTGTCAGTTTTATTGTTTTATAACTCTTTTGAGATACTCTTAAGTTAATTGAATTGAGACACCTGTATGAATGGCTTGACTATCTTGTAGAAAAAATTACTTTGGGCCATAAAGTTCAGTTTTATTCCCTGAGCTTTTTGAAAAGGTAAAATAGGACTTAAAAATAATAAAGTCAATCTACTTTTTTGTACATACTACTTGGAAATGTGAGTGGCCCATAAAAATGTGAGCAAAACAGTACACACACACGCAGTCTCACACGTGCTCACTCACACATCTCTTTTCTGGTATCTTCCACAAATAATATCATTGACAATAGGAACTGCTTGCTCAATAAATTACTAGATAGTTTCCTTAACTTTGTACTCCTTGTGTATTAACAGCTCTTCTACATTTCTGTCTGTACAGATGAGCTAGGTGAAACATTTCTAAAACAATGCAAGACAGAAAAGAACTTTGCTCTAGAAGGTCCATAGAAGCATTAAACGTAAGATTAGATTTTGTTGTTATATTGTTTGTAGTGTTAATATATTTGTAACTAAATTGTGTATTATTTGGAAGCAATTTTAATTTAGTTAAAGGTCTTTAATTATGAAGCTGTTTGGAAGTTAAATAAGATATTTATGCTGAAAAAATATTATGTACACACACACGGAGTATACACACGTCACAAAAACAACTCCTGAGGGCCATCAAGTCTCTCCTGAAATATAAATGCATTGAAAGCAAGGATTTCGAAAATTGTCTTCAAAAACATTTTTTTGTTACAGTGAAATATTTGCAATAGTGAAATACGTTTGTTAATGGAATTTAAAAAAATGATAGCAGTATATTTAGTTGGATTTTTTTAGCATTGTATTCACATATTAACCTTAAAATAAAGGAAATCTTATGTGGTGTAGTTATTATCCCATCCTGGAAGGATATTTGAAAGAGGATTATGTTGGAAGTCACCCATCTGTCCACAGAAGTGGGACGAAAGAGCAAAAGATTAATTCTCTGGGCTTTAGGATCCAGATATTTGCAGTGGTGTTTAGATTGGAAATATAACTTAGCCCCAGAAAGTAAGCTACTTAAACTGCCTTTCAAATAATTTAGCAGTTTAAAGTTTAAATAATTTAAAGTTTAATATAGTCTCTGGTGAAATATTCTCCTTCCATTACACCAAAATATTCCCTTTGTGGAACTGCTGTAAAAGTTACCTTTCCATTTTGTGGAAGCAGGGCATCTGTAGGGCTTTCGATCACCCTAATAAGCTAAAAACAGCCCCTGTGTTACCAGAGGGAGCATGGCAGAAAGATCCCTGCTTAAAACTGATGTCATGAAAATTTATATGCACAGAAGGATGTATACAATTGACCTTTAAGTTAAAAAAAAAAGAGGCGGTTATAATGCATAGAAATGCTCCACATAAATCTAGTCCTGAAGAACTAGCTACGTGGAAGTAAACGTTAAGGGAGAAGGCAGGGTTGGGGGAGAAGAAAGGAAGTCCTTTCTGAAATTTAGAAAAGTCACAAGAGAATGTTCTGACACTACTTTGAAACTGTAAGGGGTACTTAAATGAGTTGGTCATTTCTTTTGGGGGAGGTAAGCACACAGTTTCAGGGAAAATTGGGAACCCTACCACACTTCCTTTTAACTCTCTTTTGTCCTGTACTTTTATTTTTTCTTAATCACAGATGTTTTCAAAGTCTTCCTTATTTCAAGTATTTTATTATTGAGGTAGACTTCTGGAAACTTGAGTCTATAAGACTGACAAAATGTAGACACATTTTTGAAAAACTAGCCATGGAGTATTTTAAAAGAAGTAGAAATAGCTTCTATTGATTGTTCTGTTTAATACACATATGTGCTGATATATGTTAATACTACAAGAGTAGTATGTGCTGCAAATTAGTATCCTTCCTTTTCCACTGCACAATAAATAATGAATTCCTATGCCAATAAATATCTACAATACCATTTTTAGTGATAGAGGACCAATTTGATCTTAGATTTTTGTTTAATTTAAGTCGATCCTGGCTTTCAGTTAGAAGGGAGTATAAATATGTGAACTATATGGTGTGGGTTTTTCATCTGCAAATAGGGTAGACTAGGCTTCGTCTTCTACGGTCTCTGCAGTGTTTACTGTAACCAGACATGTTCTGAATAGGAGGCTTTTGGGACTAGATATGTGTTTGAAATGGAAAATGTCACTGTTTGACAGGTGCCGTGTATAAAGCATTGTGTCTTCTTTGGTCCCTTTGTTATATTACCAGAGTGCAGGTGACATGTTCCTCCTGTGTAGCTGTCTTCATCAATATTTCTGTGCCTAAGGAAGGAGTCTACGTACGTTTCCTTCCCTCCCAAGAAGCTCTAAATATCTCAGATGAAGATATGGGTACAGAAGGAACATTTCCTAGACTTTGTAATATAATTATTGGAGCAGATTGAAATCCAGATTAATTAGAGATGCAAAATATATTATAGACCTTTGCGTGCCTTCTCAATTTTAGGTTCATTTATTAAGCCAACATCTTTTGCACAACTACTGTGTGCCAGGCCTTGTGTTAGGAGCTTATTATTCAAAGATGAATGAGATGTGCCCTTGCTTTCAAGGAATTTAATTTGAGTTTCAAAATCAGATTCAAATAACATTTATTCAGTATCTAACATGCGACAAGCAGTGGGCTGGATATTCTTAAATGAGGTGTTTGACCACTAACATTCAGTAATGGTATTTATTGACGCATCTGTTCCAAAATAAATCATGAATAGAATTTTCTAATCTTTAAGTTTTTTTCTTCCATTATATTTTCCTAAACTTTGGTACCTGCTACTACTTGTTGAGTTAAATTAGCAAATGAAAAAAAAAGTTAATAAATAACAAGCATTGAATTGATAAACTTAGAACAATGATTTTTAAAACATGTATGTATATATTTATACACACATACGTGTGCACACACACATATGTTTGGGAACCTGTATGCATGTAATGTAGTCATAATTTCTCCTAGTAGGATAGTTCTTGGTTCATGTGATACAATTAAGTACACCAAGATTTCTTGGTATTCTGCCCTTAGATTGGCTCCCCTGTCTGAACAAGTGTGGAAGTCATAGCAGTGAATCTCTAGATTGTCACAGTAATTCTTAGGGTAAGGATTATTGAAACCCGGGGGGGGGTGGAAGTAACTTGCTCACATTCACACAGCTAGAAAATGTTTGAGTTAGGATTCCAACTCCCATCCATCCAACTGGACAGCCCGTGCGATGTCCATCTGAATTCTGTGAGCTCGGGAGGAAGCTAGACCCACAAATGCCATGGGCCTGCTGACGAAGGGGCAGTCATTTCCTGAGGAACCACGACATGCGTTCACTGCACTGAAGAGCCGACATTGAAATAAGTCTGGAGGGCTGTGTTAGAAGACAGAAAAGGGGAGAGTAGTGGGGCTGAAGGGGAAGCACGTGCCAAGGCACAGAGGAATGGAGGCTCACGGCATGTTCAGAGAGTGGCCAGAATTCTGCTGTGACTGGGTGGGGGCACGTTGAGAGCGGAGCAGGCTCTGAGACTGAAAAGACTTGGTGCCAGAGTGGTGAGGCCTACGTGTGCCACCCTGGAGACTTGGGGTTTTTTTTTTAAAGCAATATATAGCTGCTAGAGAGTTTTAAGGTAGAAGAAATTTCATAATTAGATAGAAGTTTTATGAGGATCACTTGGGGGGCAGTGTGGATTATGGACTGAAAAAGAGAATACTGGAGACTGGAGATCCAGGGTGGCCGTGTGAGGTTGTGTGAGTTGTTCACTGCACAAGGGTATGTGTGAGTGTTGGGTAGTGGGGACTGATAACTATCCAACATGTTACTCACAAGCTGTATGCTGTTGGGGCTGGGCCTACCTAGAGAGGGCACTGTTAAAAATTTGTACCATAAGATGCTCCTACATGCCTTTTAATTGCTTATAAGATAATAGGAAATATTAGACAAAGAAACAACTGTGTACTCTAGGGCCTAAAAGAGCTGGGTATGGTGTTCTTTTTACTAACTGTATGATGCTGGGCATGTTTCCCATCTTCTCAAAGTCCATTTCCTCATCTTTAAAGGGGAGTTGGTAGTAGGATCTAGTAGGGCCCTGGACAGAGCAGTTAAGGGACATTGGTAAGAGAAGTACCTAGATGTGGGGGATAGAGAAATAAGAGGTCTCAGACTGGAAGCTACTGCCAGCAGTTGTGTGCTGGGAACTGCATTAAGAGTCTTACGTATCTTGTTTAGTTCTGTATCAGTTCTGAGAGGTAGATGTTATCTCCTTATCGAACAGATTTTGCAACTGAGGCCTAAGGAGGTGAAATAATTTGTCTAATGTCACACAGCTTGGGAGTGGTGAGGTCAAGACTTGAACCTAGGTCTACATGAGTCCCATGTATATGCTCTTAACCACTGTGCTTAGAAGTAATCATTTGTATGTGTCGAACTCCCTTAATACCCTACTTGAATCTCTCTGTAACATATTCTAATTT